ATTGTTCATCTAAAAACCTTTAGTGAACTAGTGAAACCTCTCAGGCAGCTGGATAGTGTGCTTGCTTTCTAATATTTTTTATGTGAAATCCTATAATGATATATATTTGAGGGTCATGATTGCTTTAAAATGCAGAGACTTGTCGGGGTTTTTCATGAGCTGTGATTTACCTCCACTTTTAAATAGACCTTTATAGAGTTGTCCTGTTATATGACATGAAAGAACTAGGTCAGGCTTCACAAATGAGCTTGATAAATGCATGTTTATGGGATTGATTGTCTGGACTAAATGATTTGTTATTTCCCTTTAGACATTAACAGACTTTGTAAATTAGGTGTCAGAGTAACAACCAGCATGTAATAAAAGCTGTTCACATTATTCTTCCAAGATCGCTAATAGAGAAGGTGCGTAAATCACCCCCTGCCATTTAATTTTGGAACCAAGGAGGAAAATTATTTGACACCACAAGAAACATCCCATCTGCTTCAGTGTTCTCCACATTTCTACAATTGTCTTGATTTGACAGAACAAATAATCTAAAAATATATAAAAATGATAAAGAATTATTTTATTATGTGACTAATGAGGATAATCTGTATTGGGTTTTGTTTTATATTGACATTGAAAATGAAAGTTAATTATAAGTCATAATAATAATTGTTCAGGATAATATTGTAGAGATTGTATATGCACTAGTCACTTTTATTAGCGATGCACAATATATCTGCCATTATAGAGATTTTTTAATTGATCATATCACCAATATTGGATTTATTTTTACATTTTGATTACCTTTGTTGCCATCTCACTTAAGGATAATTCAATTATATAACTAAATAATAAAATCAAATAATTTGATTAAACTTTTAATGTAATCTTTATTAAATCTCAAAATGAATATCCATTTTTCATACTGTGCATTATAATGTTGTGATGCTTAAATAGACTTTTTTGTTTGTGATTTATTTAGATTAAAAAAATGATCTATATTTTAATATCTATATGCCATTAATAGGTTATATATTGTAATATAAAATAATGATCAGTATCAAAGCCCGTATTTTTGCACATGCAGCTGCCTAAATTACATGAGAATTTTGCAATAATCTTTAAAGGCTTCACTCCTAAAGAAAGCATTGGCTTTTGAGTTCGCCTGCACATAAACAAAGCTGAAGGAATGCACTTTGCCCCGTTTGATAGCTCTTTACCCACTCTCCTCCTCCATCTGCACTCATGACTGCAGTGGGAGCCCGGCGATTATGATGGAAATCTCACAAGCCATTATCATGAAGAGGCTGGGCCCGATGCAGACAGCTTAATGGACTCATTTGTAATTGGTAGGGGGCAATGGCTAAGCTACCGTGGCCTTTGTGTGATTGAGTATAGAGGCATGCATGCAAATGTGACAAATGAATAGGAATTGAACCTCTCAGGTTTTGTGCGGCTTTCTCCAGCTCTCCGTTCAGCCAGAGTGACCTTGAGAGGCAGTGCAGTAGGTGTTAAGAATCGTATAAAGAGGTGTTAACACTGGGGGCAGTGAACGGAAGGAACAATTCATGAAGTCTAAAGTGGCATATTCATTAGCTGCCATATGAATTGGTTTGGAAGGAAGCTGTTGTGCAAAGCCGCGAGGTACACATTGGTTATGAGCACTACATAAGTGGCATCCGAATGCTCCATGGGCCTATTTACCGCCCTGCTAAACGAGTATAAAAGGGCACTTTCTGTGCTCCCTGTATGTGCCAGCTCAATCAAATCTCAAGACTTTTCATTCAGTGGAAAATAAGTCCTCACAGGTGATCGCTGCGGCTTTGTAAGATCGAAGATGATTTTATATGCGAGCGCATGACATATTTTAGAGGTTTTGCCTTGGTTGTTTCCCTAAGCCATCAACGTGAGCTTCATTGTCCGAGGTGTTTTTTGTGTGCCATTGAGAAGAGAGCCTGTTCGTCACAGATGTCCAGGGAAAATTACACAAGTGCCTCATTAATGAATGGCTCAACAGTCTCTGGAGGTGGCCTCAGAGGCAGCTCTTTAATGAGCTGGGAACTCAAACACTGCCAAAGTTTACCTCGACCCTGCCTCTTGCGCTCGGGTCAGTCGGAAGAGCAATTCAATTCAGGGCCACTGAAGCAGAGGGGAATGGCCTCACGCTGATTTCTCTCTCGCGGCTCCAAAGGCAGGAATAATGCACTTTTGTCACACGCATCCTGGGGAATTACAGCTCCTAATTTGATTAGGGGAGATTTGATTAACTGGAAAATGGGGATTTCACTAAAACTTTCACATGCTTAATTTATCCCTTGCCGAGCAGATGCAACATTGTGTCATCCCAATGAAAGGGCGTATGGGAACCCTATTCAGTGGTTAGACACTCTTTGAAATCCAAGAATATTGCTATTTCGCCATGGCTCTCACAAGTCAAATGCCTTTGATTATCTCTTCCTGGAAATAGCAACGGCTGTCATGCGAGTTTGCGTACGCCTGCTTACGAAGCCTACGTTGATCTGACAGCGCGACATTCTCGCCGCATTTCTGTTTATGGACTGAAAACTCCTGCGGTGTGGAGTCGCTCCATTCCACGAGCGAACGGATCGCACATCTTCCAGTACATTAAGATTATGTATTTCATTTCAAGACCAATTGGCCCTTAGTAATAGTCTCAGAAGGAGCTTGCCATTACAGACCAGTGGTTATGGAGGACAGAAGCTCTTCCAAAGGGCAAGTATGGAGGAATCCATCCCCATTAAAAATGATCTAGTTAAATCAGCTTTCTCTCAAAGGGCCATCGGGCCAAACCTGCTCTTTGAAATTAATAGCCAGACTGGAGCTGAAGGGTTAAGGCATCAATTTACTCCTCCTTCAGAGAGAAAATCAGTGAAAACAATCAGGCCAAGTCGGCACTAATGACTTTGCCTTTGAGGCGAGTCTGCAAGAATCTTTCGGTGTTTAAAAAAAGACAGACGAAAAAACTTGCGTGTGCTCATTCTTCATTCCATTTCTTCGTTTTATAGGGCTTTGGGATGTGGCTAACGTTGGGACAGATGTACATACGCTATCGTAAACCGATTCTTTGTCATAATTACACAAAATGATTTAGAATGAACTGAGCACTGAGTTAATAAAAGCCCTCGTTCCACATCTCATTTTCAGTAATCACATCTGACTCCGATTTTCTGCCTTTGATGATTATAATGATGCAATTTAGGAGTGATTTACTATTTTGTGTTAGTCGTACACGCTGTGCGCTGGTAATATATGATTATGGTTTTTTGGAAACTGCTTAAACTGTGATGGCACTGTGAAAACGTTCTGCTCTTTTCAGTTTTATATAAATGAGATTATGACGGAAGATAATTCAGTGATTTAAATCCACATCCTGAACAAAGTTCAGTTTGGGGGAAATTAATGTTTGATGTTATTTTTTGGTCATGAAAATTTAAAAGTTGTTAAATTCTCAGATTTGGATCAAATTACCAGTCCTAACTATTAGGACTAGTATTGAAATGTTGTAGTTAAAAGCAGTGGCTTTATAAACTGTCGTATCCAAGAATCCTATGTGATGTAGAAAAATCTATGAATATCAAAATTTATCTATTTATCTGTTAAAATAAATAATGCTTATAAAAATAGCATTAAATTATGATAAGGTTAGAGTTACAGCAAGGGTTATGGTTGCCAGTCGGGTATGTTCCGACTTCAACCTCAAGTTTTCTTGAGAAGTACGAACAAGAATTAGAATTAGTTGCAAAAAAAATTATTGTCTGATTTTAGTAGTTAGAACGGTGAATGTATGCGGCTTGTATATCTCAAAACATCACATACGAAGATGCAATATATCTCGCCGCTTCCATGCGAACACTGAATATCCTGGGTCTTGCGACTTTAGATTTACAAACACTTAATACACATAATTTAACCAAAATGCTCTTCTTTTGAAGTACTCATAAATAAGGTCTATGCTTGTATTAGATATCAAATCGCCATAGTCAGGATAATAAAGCACAGCAATAACATCTGGCTCAGCTAGAACCAGTACAAAGTACACTGGCTTTTATTTGGAGCTTATAAATTATGAAAAGAAAACCCCTAATCTTCTTCTGTTTGATGAAATTTGATGGCCTGCATACGATTTGGAGTCTCTCGTGTAGGTCTGAATTAATATTTCAACTTGAGCCCAAACATCTGCCTCCAGTCCCACAGATCGAACGGCCTCCGAGGGGAGAAGAAGGTGTCGCTGCCACTCGTGTATTCATCCGCCTATGGGCGCCCCAGTGCGTGCAGTCAGAAGAAGGAAGCTGAAACTGTTTTTCTGGCAAGCTGAAGATCCACATCCCGCTGAGGAGTCGCAAATCACAGCTACGTCCCAGCAGGAGGACCAACTTCAGCTTGAACAAGGCCTTGTTTTGTTCAGGGCCTGTGAAATGCAATTAGAAACTCCCTCAGGGCCGACAGGGGCAACGGCTGAATGAGACCTCCCCGTGATCCTGGCGGGCCACGGACTTTGAAGTCTTCTGCTATCTCCCCAAGAGAGCCCATCCCCGGTTCAGAGAGGACACCGCATTAGCAACGGAAGACATGAGGCTGATGAGGAGCTTTCATGTGCCTCCTCCCATGGGGGTGTTGACGCTTCTAATAAATTACGTGATATATCTGTTGTGATAATATACCATCTTGTGATTTATCATCTCGCCATGCCCTTTTCCCACTGACATTCACAACCCTTCTGTCCAAAGAAGAGCTTTGCGATTGGCTGACCTCACCGAGAATTCCACAACAAGGTGTGCATGACATTCACATTTATGTGATGCATTTATAATAAGCTGTGACAGGTACAAATGCAACCACCGCATTAAATCATATCATCCTTTTCTCACCCTACAAAAGAAGCGGGGTGGCATACCAGCACAGAAGCATTAATTGGAGCCGACACGTCACCCAATAAGAGTGAAGTCTCATTTCGGTGCGAGGTGGAAGCGTCTCATCAGCATTCTGAACCCGTCGCCTGTCCCCTCTGGTTATTCTGGGCCTGTAATTAAGAGGATGGCCATAATCACTAGACTGTCTATACGTACGTGTTGAGCAGAGAGGAGGAGAGTGTTGTAATTGTTCTGCCGCCGGGGTGCCGCTCTCAGGGCTGAGGAGGGAGGTGTGGGAGTGTCCGCTGAGGGAGGGATCACAGGAACGCACGGTTCGCTACTGAGGGAGCATTCTTGAGCCGAGCTGAGTGCGGCCGGACACGCTCTAGAAAGGATCTCAAACCTGCTTTGAGTGGATTTGCGCTTAATCTGTTAATGGTGAAGGAGCTCAGAGCCTCACGTTTACTGTGTTTGGAGGATTTTACCGGATACTGGTTCAGTCTCTGGAAAGGATTGGTTCAGGATGTTCAATATCATACATGCCCTGATATTTAAAGGGTAAAAACAAACAATTTGTCAGAGCTCTTAGATTTTGGATAGACCTATGGTTTATATTTATACATGTAAGGAAACAACTTTTTAACACTTTTGTGTTCTGATACTGGAGTGACTGTACTCTGAAAAGCATTGGAAAATTCAAAACCATTGGCAATATTTTGGATTACATTGAGAAGGGTCTTCTTGCCTCATCACTTCATTGGTATTTTGGGTAAGTGCTTCTCAAAAAATCTAATAAAATGTAAAGAATTTTTTTATTTTGGATTTGGGTTCGTTGTTTTTGCTGTGCATTTAGATACTACCGCGAAAGTGAGACATGCCTAGAGAGAAATGGATAGTTCACGCCAATAATTCTTGAAATTAGCGGTTATGAAAAATGAAACTTTCTTGAAAATAATTGATAACCTTTTTTTCTCAATTTTTGATGCGTTTCCATTTTATCGATGTGTTTGTTTCATGTTTTGAAGCATGGACAAATTATTATTTTTAGTACATTTCCTTTGAAACCATTGGGCTGTAAAAGAGTGAAGCCGCTTGTCAGGTTTTGCAGTGGTGAAACAGTGTCCTCTTGTGGTTAACATTTTTGTGATGGCTAATGCAGAATTTTTACTGAAACTTATTAATATTGCAGGTTGCTCTGACAAACAGAGATATTCCTCTTCTCCAAATGCAGGTAGGTAAACCTCACATTTCATAACATCGCCATTACTAAATAAATATGCCTTCAGTATTGTGTTTATTTGCCTCCCTGTATGAGAATTCATGAGCAGGCATTATATCTAACTAACACTTCTTGACAGGTTTGATAGATAGACTCAATTATCCAATGATAGTGTCATCACATCACTCCCTATTCCAATGAGAAATAATCGTTAAATCGCTAATGGGCATTTTTATGTCTACTTTGCCTATTAATTATATTGTTATATATTCTCAGCTTTGGACATTAGATTGGTGCAGCTCATGACTTTGTTTTCCAAGGTTAAGAACGTTTTCACATTTGAAGCATCACATTTCCATTCTGTAATATGATGAATTACGAAAACAAAACATTTACAAGACGCTTTATACTTGCATTGGGCAGATGGCATGATGAGAAATCCTCTGGATTGAGTACAGGGATGTAAAAAACACAATATCCTTAGAACCAATTAGCATTTTGATAACTTAGGAGGTGGGTGCGTTCAGGCCAAGTACGTGCTGGTAATCTTCCACTTAATTGGATAGAGGACCAGTCACTCCACAGCCAGCCAGCCCAGAAACACTTTAGCCTTGCCGATTTATTTAACAACACATTCTCAGTCATGCATTTATTTTTATTGGCACACTTACACATTTAAGTCATGAAGCATTCATAAAAACCATAAAAATTTACTTCATGCAGTTTTTGCTTCTTAAGCGTGCTGCAATCAAATCAGAGGCACTTAAGAACTTAACCAGATTACTTTCATAGAGTCACCAGCAATAGTTAATGGAATTTACGTCTTTATGTTAGAGCGGGTGCTTTGGAAGCTCCTGTCTGGCACATTTGTCAGCATGGGCCATGGTCTGTTCTCTAGCACTAGGCTGGAGTTTCACTGCATTGATGGGTCACGGTCTTAGGTCAGACTGCTCCTCATGTGCAATAACATTTTGTGTTTTAGCACTGCTTTTAAAAGAACTTTTATTTTGCCAAATCTGATTGGCTGTCTAAGATAACAGAAGGATGTGAACACATAGTGCAGCAATGTTTTGAGAAGCCTATTAAACCTTAAGCCATCTTAATGCAATTGAGTTAAAGGACACTTGTCTCAATCATAGGGGGATTAGACAGCTTTCAGGGTCTGTTTTATTTCTCAGCGTTCTGCCAAATGCTTCTCGGAATTGAGTTTTTAATTAGACATTACCTCCTTGAATGACACACATCATATTCCTAATCCTTTAACGGTGTGTATTTTTAGAGGCAGCAATAGAGTTCTGATGACATTTATAGACAGACTGTTTGTCTGAATATAGGTGATTATTCAGTTAGGTCACACTCTAAAAAATGCTGGGTTATTTCAACCCAACTTTGGGTCAAAGTTGGACTAACCCAACTTTTGGGTTAAAAATTTAAAGTAAAAATTTAACCCAACGGTTGGGTTAGTCCATATTTGACTCAGTTAGGTTGAAACAACCCAGCATTTTTTAGAGTGCAGTGAAAAACTTGGTATAATTTGGTATAATGTGTGATGTGAATTTTTATTGTGTATGATACATTTTGTGGTAATGAAGCAATGACATTCAGTTTTTTTTTTGCCAAAAATATTGAATAATCGGTAAAAA